GGCGGCTGACGCTGCCAGGCCAAACTCAAGTCACGTGACTGGAAAGTCCCTGATGGAAGGAAATCCCCGGCAACTAGTACAACTGAAAGGGAAAAAAGGAAACTGCGCAGTCTGCAGGCTCCGTGGCGGCCAAGTGCAGAGAGCTGAGAGCCCACGGGGGCGGAGCGGTGAGTGTAGCCGCCAGCGGAGATCACACCCCCAGCACCCGCGAGCCCGACGCCGGGCTTCCATGGGGCACCGTCTCGGCCCGGCCCCGGCCCCGACCCCTGCCAGCGGCGCGTGCCTGTGTTGACCCGGACTTGAGACTTAAGCGGAGAATCGCGCCGCTGGGAGAGGTAAGCGCCGCGCCTCCCCGTGCTCTCTGCTCCCGCGGCCACGGGCTGCGGCTGCGGATTGATTGGGCAGCGACCCCCGGGCTGGCCCCGTCTCCTTGGCATCGGTTTTGCAGCGGTCCTGGAGGAGACTTTATTGGCCGTTTGTTCCCATTCTAGATTTTGAAGTGCTGGGAGTTGTGGTCGCCGCTCCAGTTGTAGTGACAGCCCTGCATTTCTCCAGCCAGCTGTTCCTTTCAGATAATGCAGAGAACTTAAGCTGCAGCTGACTGGTGGAGCGTCGACCTTCGGGCCCCTTGATCGGGTGGTCGCTGGTGCTTTGCTCCTTTTCGTGTCTTTTTTTTTGCAATCAAGCGTTGCATGCCCTTGGCCACGTAGACCTTGCAGAAGCACTTGTGGCTTCTTCCTGGATTGTGCGGAACCAGCGCAGCTGGGCTAAGGTGTCACAGGGGCAGCTAAACTGGGTGAGGGTGGGGGGCTTCAGTCAGCCACCTCCCCAGCTTCCAGGGGTCTGTGCAGAGGTATGGGGTCAGGACTCAGGCTCCCTCTTTGGCAGTTGCAGAAGTGTAAGGGAAGTGGGCGTGTAGAAGTGCGTTGCTAGCCTACCTTTGGGGGGCTCCACTTTAGCAGCGATCTGCAGGCCCCTACCCCACAGTCAGACGGTCTTTGTCAGCCCGGGTCGTCCCACATCCTGCCACCTGGCCTCTCAGGAAAACAGTGGTATTAAGTAAGGAGGGAGCTCGGCTCTTTTTGAGTCCCCTTTGTTGTTTTCGCTTCTCCCTGCCTCTGATCTTTCCTTGGAAAGCCAGTCTGGTCAGGTGTCTCAGGGCAGCATTCTGGGAGAACCATTCTGGGTTAAAGAGTCTTCTGGACCACAACACTAATGACTCAGATTATTGAGCTGCCAGTGAGTGCTGCAGTCTTAAGGTGCTGCTTTGATTTTTTTTTTTTTTTTTGGCCTTCTTTTTGCAATTTTTGAATTTTAGGAGGGGCCGTCCCCAAAATTTGGATTGAGGTACTTGACTAATCCATCAGATGGACAAAAATGTTTGCCTAGAGTGGAAAAAAATAAAACAAAAGGGAGAAGAGTTTGAGTAATGAGTAACTTCTGTAGAATCTCATTGATCCTTGTGACAAAAATTGGGAAATTTATGAAGGCAGTGAGGTAACAGATGTAAAAACAAATTGTTAAGGCCAATATGGGGGGGTGCACATAAGGACATTATAATCATGTGTCATTAAAAAATTCTTCAATCATAAGTGTGGAGAAGCCTGAGAACTGGAAACTTGGACAGTGGGTTTTGATTTCTTTTAAGACGGCAATTTTGTAGGTTCTGCAAGGCTCAATCTGGCATGAGATCCCACTAGGCTATGGAGTATTGACATTTACATGTCTTGTACACGTTTTGCAGCTCTCACTGTTTTAGGTCTTTGCTGAAAAATCTTTAGGTCCAGAAAAGAAAAATGAAAGAGTCAGAAAAGCAACAAAAGGCAACACCTAGTTTGTTTGGAATCTTTCTACTCCCAGTCTGTGTGCATCTGAGAGCGGCAGTTGTGGGAATTGGAAGAGGCAGGTATTGGAAAACCTGGCTCCTAGGCAAAGCTCTGCGCCTGCCTGGCTGTGGGCCCTGCTCAATTCCCCTATCTCCATTGCCTTAGCTGCAGATGAAGGTGGTTGTGTGACTTCGAGGAAAGGAATAAGGTCATTGTTTGTCTCTAACCTCAGCTTCAGGTGTGGTGATTGACCTTCATTAGGTGGTCAGGTAGCATTTGTTGGATGCATGGATGGATGTATGGATGAATGAATGACCTGGTGAAAGAGACTATGCTGTGTCATAAAAGAATAGTGTATGTGGTATTTTTGTCCCTCCTTTGTGTCTGTAATCCTGCATTGTGACTTTGCCCAATTCCATCAGCCAGGAATGTCTAGCATTACAGGAGAGAGCACCATTTGACCCAGAGAATGACTTCTCCCAGGCTTCCCTGAGCAATCAGATGAAGCATCCTAGTCCAAAGCTCTCAGGAGCCACCCTAAGGTCATCTCATCCACCCTTTCCTCTGGGAGTGTGCGGCAGGAATTCAGACCACCTTATCCATGGCTTTAAGAGAGCCTAGACCCACCCAGAAGTGGTTTCCCTAATGTCTGGGTTTCTTGCCCTCCTTCTTGCACAGGTTTAACTTTTTATCACCTGGCAAATAGTATGATGCAGGAGTGGCCTAGAGAATATCTTTGTGCTCTGAAACCATTTCTTGTCTTGTTGGAAATTGGCATGTGTGGTGAGGCTCCCGACTAAGGGCTCTAGTGAACAGGAGCTGCACGCTGGAGGGATACTACATTATGTTAATTTATATCATCCCACGCTATTGGCATGGGTCATGGATTCTGTCCTTGTCCCCACACTTCTTTCATTTGTCTTGAGTTGTCTCTTGGCTGAAACTTCTTTCCTTGTCTGCTTCCAGATTTTCATTTCCTCCACCAACTGAATATTCTTAATGATTTCTAGGTGTAGGGCAGGGTGGAGGTGTATTTGTTGGTACCTGGAAAGTACTAATAAAATTTAATTGTGCCAGGTAGTGTGGCACAGTGTCTGTAGCTAGTTGAGATGCTGAGCTAGGAGAATCATTAGAGCCCAGAAGTTCAAGACCAGCCTGGGCAGCATAGCAAGACCCCATCTCTAAAAAAAAAAAAAACCAAACAAACAAAAAATAAAAAATTTAAATGCTAAGTAAAAGTTTGGTTGGCAGTTGAATTGAAATAATTGAGCTCCAGTGTGTGTTATTAAAAGAGTAAAGTTTGGGCTTGGAGCCTATGGCTCAAGCAGCTAAGACACCAGCCACATACACCTGAGGTGGTGGGTTCAAATCCGGCCTGGGCCCGCCAAACAATATTGACGGCTGCAACAAAAAAATAGCCAGGTGTTGAGGCGGGCATCTGTGGTCCCAGCTACTGGGAAGGTGGAGGCAGGAGATTTGCTTGAGCCCAGGAGTTGGAGGTTGCTGTGAGCTGTGATGCCACAGCACTCTACCCAGGGCAACAGCTTGAGGCTCTGTCTCAAAAAAAAAAAGTGTAGTTTGTTTCTGTTGCTTATTCTATTTTTTACTGTATTGTTGTAAAGTCTAAATGATTGGGGCTAAAGAAGAAACACCAACCAGCAGCCTAGATGACAATATAAAATTGCAGGATTTTTTGTAAAATATTTATTGTCATTCCTGCATAGGGAGGGAGCGATAAACCAAGACTTTCCCAGAGAGCTGGGACTGCTTGGTGGTGCTCTTCAGGGCATTCGGTTCTCCCCAAAGCCAGCAGCTGTTCCAGAGTGGCATCAGGATGCAATGACAGCTTAAGTCAGTTTTGAGGAGCAGTCCCTGTGGCTGATAGACAGGCTTGGCTCCCTGACAGACGATACTGAAAACACGGGTTATCCCCCTCCTCCTCAGTACCCACTCCCCGCCTTCCTTCTCTTGTTTAGACTAATCTTTAAAAGTGATGTAACTTAAAACAGTCCAGTGTGAGTTAATCTTTGGGGCCAGCTAGTATCCTGGGAGTCGAGGTGACTAAGATCTTGTGCCTACAGATTAGGGTAATGACAAATCAAACACTGGGGTTTCCTGCAGGCAGGTATATAGGAGTGGTATCAAAGCCAAGCTAACGGAATGGGTTTCTTCCCCCTCCTCTTCAGGTATTGGAGAGCACCATGGCTGAACAACTCCTTCCCCAGGCCTTGTATTTGAGCAATATGCGGAAAGCTGTGAAGATAAGAGAGAGAACTCCAGAAGATGTTTTTAAACCTACCAATGGGATCATTCATCATTTTAGGACCATGCACCGGTACACACTGGAAATGTTTAGAACTTGCCAGTTTTGCCCACAGTTTCGGGAGATCATCCACAAAGCCCTCATCGACAGAAACATCCAGGCGTCCCTGGAAAGCCAGAAGAAGCTCAATTGGTGTCGAGAAGTCAGGAAGCTGGTGGCTCTGAAAACAAATGGTAAGACTTTGTGCTTCTTTTTTTTGGAGACATTTGTCACCCTTGGTAGAGTGTCGTGGTGTCCTAGCTCACAGCAACCTCAAACTCTTGGGTTCCTTTTGTCCAGAGGATGGCTTCCCCTGCTGGGTCCTCCATTCATGCAGTTTCTACAGTGCTAGCCCAAACTCATCTCCCTCAGATTTAGCATAGACACTTAAGTAGAGAAGCTCTATAAGGGGCATGTGATAAAAGCAAGTTTGTTTTGTGAATATTTTTATTAAAGATATTTTCTAATTGTATCTATCAGAGCATGGAGCACATTAGGGCTTGGGGGATGTATTTCTAAACACCGTGCCCCCGTTAAGTGATTTGTTTCTAATTCTTGTGACTGTTTAATCATCTGTAAAATACCTTTCTCTGGCCAGTAATGGAAATGTTAAAAGGCTTGAAGTTCAAAGGAAAGCATGGTGTGAAAACTAGTACTGTTTGCCATTGTCATAGAAAATGCTTGTGAAGTTCTTACACCTCTTGAATTGGTGGCATTTTATGGGTTAACCAGTGAATGGTAGTTGATGATGGGGGGACTTCTTTTGTCTCCCCCTCCCTTGCCTAGGTTCTGTTGCCTGGGGTCCTATAATATGAAATAGAAGGATATTAGAGATTTTTAGCACAGACTGTAGAGCCCTCTACTTCATTACTTTTAGGGATTCCTAGTCCCTGAATTTCTTCCTGTCTGTGCCCTTCTGTCCAATGGACTTGATTACTAGCAGCTATATCCTATTCCAGGCTCTACTGTTTTATATTTTATCATTTCCCTTGAGCAAGAGTGTGGATATCAACAGGAGCATCTGAGCATACTGCTGCATGCAGGTGCAAAACTCTACTCTGTGGAGGGAGAGAATTATTAGGAAAAGCAAGTAGACTGTCCAAAGCCATTAAATGTTCATAGTTTGGGTCAGAGCAGGAATCTCAGCCTTTCTGTCCATGACAGCCCTAAACCCTCTGGATCAAAATAATATGCCCAAGAGCAGAAAATCCTTGTTGACAATGATTATGATAAGAATATTAACTTAATTAACTAAATGGGTGCATTAACATTGGCTGTTTTTGACGTGGATAGCTTAGAATGATTGTGGGGTTTTTTGTTTTTATTTGAGGGTTCCTGTACATCACCTCAACATCTTGTCTGAAACATAGACTCTTAGAAACCTAAATAGAAAGGGATAGCTTCTGTCTACAGTGTTCTTGGCATTAAGTGACCTGGAGAAGTAGGTAGTTACGTTAAGTCATCTTCAAGCAGTTTATGTGCCCGACAATTGGAGGTTTTAACCCTTTACCATTTTGTTACAAAAAAAGAGTCAACTTTGAGAGGTTTGGAAACAGAGATTCTCCTGAATTAGAAATATGGTAGAAAGTGGAAAACCTTATTATCATTCACAGAATTAACTGACATTTTACTGTATTTCCTTAAGAAAGCAAGTGCTATATTTCCATAAGGAAAAGAAATGGAATATAAATAGGAAACACTTACTTTGCAAACATATGTCATTTAAGTCCACAGGCAGTCACACTACAAATTAAACTACAAAAGCAAATGCATTTTCATAACATTGTCTGAGGTATTTATTCCTATTTTCTAAGGAGTCTTAGGCTCAGAATCCTTTTTTCCCCACTTTTAAGAAAATTCCTTAAAATTTTGAAAAAGGAAGAAAAGACTTTTAGGGGAGAGAGGGAAAAACAAATGATTTTTGTTTCTTTGATTTTTTTTTTTTTTAGCAGCTTTTTTTTAAGTCCCACCACCACCACTCCATGTCCAAAAGAGGGTTCTTCAAAGGCAGTGGTGTGTTTGGGGAGGGGGTGATTCACAAGTTTGCATTTGAGGATATGAGACTGTGGTGAATGAGGAAGGGAGTAGGTGGCATAAAATTGAAACTTCATGTGAAAAATTCCAGCGTCTATTGGCTGCAGCGATTTCACTTGTATAATGAGTAGCCCTATCCCTGCTCACCCTGGCCACGCCTACTTGGAAAGTCCAGGGTGCACTTTGCAGTTTAAATGTCTACACACCAGAACAAAAAGTACAATAGCTGTTGCTCAATTGCTAGTCAAATAACTTAGCACTGGGGAATTCCAGATGTTACTTAGGGAATTTTATACTGGTGCATCTCAATAAAGAACTGAAAGTAAGCACAAGAAGAAGAAAAAAAGCCTTATCTTTGCTCTAGATTTTGCAAAGGGGAAATTTCAACAGACTGCAATCATTGCCACACTTCTGCCAAGACACAAGGCTTGAGTGATATTTTTTGTTCATTTTGTTCAAGTACCTAGTTTTCTCACGTGTGTAAATTGAAGGGAATACTACCTTGGATCTATGTTTGAGGTTTTGTTGGGTTTTTTTTTACAATTTGACCATAATTAAAACTTAATAACATGTCAAATCACTTTATTGTTCTACCTACAGAATAGTATAAGAAACAGTTTAACTTTTCTTTATAAAAACTATTTTGTACTTGTTAAAGGGATTTAAAAGTTAACTTTTTGTTTTTGTTCTAAACATTCCCCCAGAATGCTTATTGTTTGGGGGTTGAACGAAATGCAGTCTATTAAATTATGAGTTTTAACCTGGAAAAGTCACAACTGAATAGAATAAATTAGACCTGTTTTCTTTGGGGGTTTGTTTTTCTCCAAAATGCCAGCCCTAAACACTAATTTATTTTCAAAGTTAGACATGCAGGTGCGGTTTAACTTCTAAAAAAGACTTTGCAATTGGTGATAGGCAGGTTCTCAGAAGGCGTGTTTGGGGGGGTTCAAGTTGGCAGGCCACAGCTAATTTGATATTGTCAAGCCCACTCTACAGACCAGGAGAGGAAACTCCCAGGTTCCAAAGGCTAACGTGGAATGGCCAAGTCATTTGCTGCTGAGTCATAGCCAGACCGTCCCTGTCTAGTGGGCTGAGCCAGGCCTGCTTCCTGGTCTGTGCATGCTAGCCTGGGTGTTCTTCTGCAGGGTTCCAGAGCTAGTGCCAGTACCTTCGCCAGCAGTTCAGGGAATGCTGGAAAGGGATGGAATTTAGAGACCATAATCCAGTGTTCTCATTCCACAAAAAAGAAAAAATGCCTAGAGAGCATAAGGAGTTTCCCCCAAGGTCATGTGAAGGACTTAGGGCAGACCCAGCTTAGAACCAAGGTCCCCTGGCTCTCCTGCCCTTGTGAAATGTTATCAAGTGTCTCTTTGACTGAACTCTTAAACCACCTTAGCCCCCTATGATAGCAGTAGGGAGAGTTTATTCTGAAAACCTTTGGGGGACTGACCTTAAATGCAGATCACTTAACTTGTCTCTTCCCTTCCCTTCTGCCCTCAGGGGACGGCAACTGCCTCATGCACGCTGTTTCTCAGTACTTGTGGGGCATTCCAGACACAGACTTGGTCCTGAGAAAGGCACTCTTCAGCACGCTTAAGGAGACGGACACGCAAAACTTTAAATTCCGCTGGCAACTGGAGTCTCTCAGATCTCAGGAATTTGTGGAAACGGGGCTTTGCTATGACACTCGGGTATGTCTTGTTCCCTCCCAAGCATCTATTGACAGAGCTCCATGGTGGGTAAAGGGTGTCCCAGGCTAGTTCCTGCCCTCAGGAATCATATGACGACTAGGTAACATGAATGTGGCTAAGCAAGACAGACTGGATGGAAGACACCAGAAACCTCCTGTGGGATCAACCTGAGACTTTGGCCACTGCTCTCTTGGGATCTCTTCACTTTAGCTGAGAGTCTTCCGATCGTGGCCTTTTCCTTAGGCATTTTTGTTGTATTTCGGGCCTGTGGCCCCAGCATGATTTGCTGGGCCAGTCAATACAATTAAGACACCTGCCTGGCTTGCCTCAGTCACAATCTTGGAATTCTTGTGTTCGTTTGGATGAGGGGCTTCCGTGTTGTGCCTCATCGGGGTGTTTTTTGAAGCAGGTGCTGCCCCATCCTCCCCCACTTTTGACTTTGCCTTATAGTGGAAAATGAAGGAAGAGAATCAAAACGGGGGGAAAAGGGTGATCATTTGAATGATGGTTTCAAGAAAGGGGAAAAATAAGCTGAGTGATATGAATGAATAATTGTTGGGTGACGTCAGAATGACTTTAACGCAGAGTGCGCTCAACCTTTCTTCCCTTAGAACTGGAATGACGAATGGGACAACCTTATCAAGATGGCTTCCACAGACACGCCAGGGGCCCAAGGTGGACTTCAGTATAATTCCCTGGAAGAAATACACATATTTGTCCTCTGTAACATCCTCAGAAGGCCGATCATTGTCATTTCAGGTGAGGGGCCCGCAGATCACTTATTTTCATTGAAGTGCTTTTCTGCTTTCGTGCTTGGGCTCTCAGGAGAGACCTACACTATCAGAGTTACAGGTAACAGTAGCTAAATGGCATTGGTGAAATTCACACCAGGACCTTATTTTTCTTTCTCTTTCCTCGAACAGACAAAATGCTAAGAAGTTTGGAATCGGGCTCAAATTTCGCCCCTTTGAGACTGGGCGGAATTTACCTGCCCCTCCACTGGCCTGCCCAGGAGTGCTATAGATACCCCATTGTCCTCGGCTACGACAGCCAGCATTTTGTACCCCTCGTGACCCTGAAGGACAGTGGACCTGGTAAGAAAACTGCCTCAGTTTACACTCCCAAATTCTGTTAGATACCAGGATGTCAGTTTGCTCTTTTGTACCTTATTGAAATAGTCCTAAGCATACTATTTTTACTTAAATATACCATTCTATTATTTTCGTGTTTAGTAACAGGAATACAATCATAACACCCCCATCTCTTTTTGTGTATAACTTGGAAAGTACTTTCAACGTATTAATTGCAAGTAGGGGATACATTTATATATATATCACTACTACTATTAATATAAACACATGATACATTGAGGCACACTAATACAGTGTCTGGAATGGAGCAGGTAAATGTCGAGTTAGCTGTTATTTTAATAGCTTCATGTAGAGTTGGCGCCACACTAAGGGCTTTAGGCATATTGATTTTATTGCATTTCATCCTCATAGCATTCCTGTGAGATGGAAGCACTGTAGCCCTATTTTACAGTTGAAGCTAGGCGAAGTTAAATAACCTGCCCAACTTGGTCACATAACTTGATGGTGACAAAGTCAGAATTCAGAACTCAATTCTGAAGCATGGGGATTTAAACAACGAAGATCCGCTGCCTACAGGCTGGTTAATGTTCTGGGAGCTTCCTGGAAGCAAGGAATTTTACATTAGAATATAGCATGTTTTGTTTTCTCGTTCGAGTTTAACTATGGCTACATATTGCTTTTCTGCATTTTCAAAATTTAATTATTTTGTGTCAGACCTTACATAAGATCCCATTTAGTAGGATACAGTTTTACTTACATAGTTGTTTTTTTTTCTCTCTCTCTCAGAAATCCGAGCTGTCCCACTTGTTAACAGAGACCGAGGAAGATTTGAAGACTTAAAAGTTCACTTTTTGACAGATCATGAAAAGGAGATGAAGGAAAAGCTCTTAAAAGAGCACTTGATGCTGATAGAGATTCCAGTCCAAGGTTGGGACCATGGCACGACTCACCTCATCAATGCTGCAAAGTAAGAAGTTGGTGTTTAGCTCTTTGCTTTTGTCACCCCACCTCAGTCACTTTAGTGGCTGCCACCCCACAGTTCAACAAAAAAGGTTATCTGCAGCCAGCTTCCACCTATGTGAAATAAATTCAGAGTCTTGTGCAAGCATGGTTGGAGAGATACGCTTCAGGGAATATTAACTTGGATTTCAAGTGGAAATAAGGAATTTATCCAGAACAGTTTTCCTGGATATTTAGGTATTAGAGTTAGAGTCAGAATTACAGGTTTTCAAGGATAGTTTTTTTCCTAATTGCTGGAATACCTATTAAAAAGACTAGCAGGTGAAGCCCATGACTTTACCATGCAGAAATTGGAGGAGAGCCTGAGAGTACACCTTGTGCAGAAATCCAATCTTTATGTTAAAAGCATGCCTGTTTCTGAGCATGGAAATGGACAGGAGATGACAGTGAGGACATAAGAGAATCAACTTCTCCAAGTGGAGGTCAGCAAACTGCAGAGTCGAAAGCAAATGGGCAGCTGGTCTGGATGCACCTGCTCCTTAGTCCCCTGGCAGTGAGGGCGAGTGCAGACAGGGCACAAGTTTGAAGTCAATAACAGCAAAATATGGAACACAAGGTTCCGAAGTCATTTGCATTATAAACTAATCCCAGATGAATGGCCTGAGTTGCACTAGAAATTTGATCTCTTAGACTTTAGAAAATAAGAGTGACTTTTTAAAGGACTAAGAGGCTGCCCCAGAGCAGCCCTCTCTTTGGAACTTCTGTAATTTGGGGTGTACCAAATGGATTCAATGAGTCTATGATTTTAAAAATAATAGAGTCTTCTTGGCAGACTAACATCATTCAGCTCCAGCCCATGTTAGGAAATGTATGTACTACAGTATATTAGAAGTACAATGAATGGCTATGGCGTTCTCAGAGTGTGTTCTGTGAGCTAATGCTGTCAAAATCTTGGGTTGTCTCATATTTCTCCTTTTGGTCTGCAGGTTGGATGAAGCTAACTTACCCAAAGAAATCAATCTGGTAGACGATTACTTTGAACTTGTTCAGCATGAGTATAAGAACTGGCAGGAAAACAGCGAGCGGGGAAGGAAGGAGCTGCATGCTCAGAATCCTTTGGAGCCTGCCATGCCCCAGCTCTCTCTCATGGATGTAAAATGTGAAACACCCAACTGTCCTTTCTTCATGTCCGTAAACACTCAGCCTTTATGCCATGAATGCGCAGAGAGGCGGCAAAAGAATCAAAACAAACTCCCAAAGCTGAACTCCAAGCCAGGCACCAAGGGGCTCCCTGGTGTGGCACTCGGGGCCTCCCGAGGAGAGGCCTGTGATCCCCTGAACTGGAATCCTGAGGAGCCAGCTGGGGGCCCGCATTCAGCCCCGCCAACAGCACCCAGCCTTTTCCTGTTCAGTGAGACCACGGCCATGAAGTGCAGGAGCCCTGGCTGCCCATTCACGCTGAACGTGCAGCACAATGGACTTTGTGAGCGCTGCCATAATGCCCGGCAGCGTCACGCCGGCCACACTGCAGACCACACCAGGCATTTAGATCCCAGCAAGTGCCGCACCTGCCTGCAGGACGTCACCAGGACGTTTAATGGAATCTGCAGCACTTGCTTCAAAAGGACTACGGCAGAGCCCTCCCCCAGCCTCAACTCTAGCGTCCTTCCCTCCTGTCATCAGCGGTCCAAGTCGGACCCCTCACAGCTTACACGGAGTCCCTCCCCACATTCGTGCCACAGAGCTGGAATTGACACCCCATCTGGCTGCCTCGCTCCAACTACACGGACTCCAGGGGACAGGACAGGGCCAAGCAAGTGCAGAAAACCTGGCTGCATGTATTTTGGGACTCCAGAAAATAAGGGCTTTTGCACACTATGTTTCATCGAATACAGAGAAAATAAACGTGAGTAAAATGGTCCTATGCAGCGGCTACCGTCTGGGGCAGGGGGTTGTTCCTGAACTGTAAGGGAAGGGGCCTATCTGGGCAGGCAGGGAGAGGGGTCAGAACCCACCATGTCTATCTACCAGCTTGCACATGGGGACAGTCACAGTGGCTCTGCCAACCACACATGGAGGCAAAAAGCACTATATGATTGCAGCAGCTCCTAGATCTCACATCTCAAAAGCCAGAAGTGCCCTGGACACACAGGTCCCAGAATTTGCCTTACTTTCTGGCATTTATAAGGCAGAGTTTAAACTAGATTTCTTTGGCAACTTTGGTATAATAGAGAAATCTCAAAATCTGCAGAGGAGTAGCCAGAGAGAGGGAAGTCTCCACTGACATTGTAAGAAAACACTGATGGTTTTGTAAATCTCTAATTGAAAGGAAGAGTGGGCAGTTAATGTCTGCTGTGATCAGTGCTCCATGTTCAAAGTGAGAGGTTTCTAAAGCCAAAGATGCTTCAGTAGTATTTTCATAATTTCTTTGCTGAATTTACAACAGGCTAGTCTCATACACATATTTAAGGCTGACTTAGTCTGTACTGGGGACTGGTTGATTTCTCCAGTGGCAGCATCTCTGCATCTGCAGGGTGACCCACGTGTGGTACTCACTAGCATCTACTCTCTTGTAGATTTTGTCACTGCCTCAGGAAAAGCCGGTCCCACGCCCTCCAGGTTCCAGAACACCGTTCCATGCCTAGGCAGGGAGTGTGGCACCCTCGGAAGCACCATGTTTGAAGGCTACTGTCAGAAGTGCTTCATTGAAGCTCAGAACCAGAGATTTCATGAAGCCAAAAGGACCGAAGAGCAACTGGTGAGCTATTTGAGGGCATTTCCCCCCTCGGATGTGTTGGGGCCTCCTTGCCGGAGCAGTTTCTTCTGACTGTGACAAGCAGGCTTTCTTCCCTGCCGGGTTCTGTCTCCTCACGGTGGTGGATTATTTAAGAAAGTCTGCCAGGAGAACCTGGGGAAAAAGTCCATGTCACTGTGGCTCCCCAGGTGGGAAGGACTGCTGTCAATTTCATGTACTTTAGAATTTATTTTAGAAAGGAAATAAAATCAGCCATAGCAGAAAGCCTCTTCATCCTCCAGAAAGCCAGACGGTGGTCAGAGGCTTCTTTGATATGTGGGAGAAGCAGAGACATGGAGAAAGCAAACTTTCTTAAATAATTTCTTATCATAAGGAACAAGCAGGCAGAGCTTCCCCAGGGCCTCCCTTTATGGCACGCAAGATAAGCCAACTTTGAGCAGAAGCTTCTCCTGTTGTCTGAAGAATGGTAAATAAGAGCCAGGCCAGGCTCGCAGGCCTCCACTTTAGTCTGGGTGGTGCCCCATCCTGGGGCCAGGTCAGCTTTCCCTGGGACCAGGTCAGCTTTCCCTGGGACAGGAAGGAGCCCCTCTCGGGGAGCTCCAGCTCACAGATGGCTTATGCACCCTGTTAACCTGCTCAGGCAGATAGAGCGCTTTGTAGAATCCCCACTGTCTAACGAGTTCTTCCTGTACCATCCCTGAGGAACACGAGCAACAGTTCTGTCTGTTCCTTTCTCTCAGAGATCCAGCCAGCGCAGAGACGTGTCTCGAGCCACACAGAGCACCCCAAGGCCCAAGTGCGCTCGGGCCTCCTGCAAGAACATCCTAGCCTGCCGCAATGAGGAGCTCTGCATGGAGTGCCAGCACCTGCCCCGCCGGGCCGAGCCGGCTGCCGAGGAGCCCCCCAAGCAGCGCTGCCGGGCCCCTGCCTGTGATCACTTCGGCAATGCCAAGTGCAACGGCTACTGCAACGAGTGCTTTCAGTTCAAGCAGATGTATGGCTGACCAGGGCAGTGGCCAGCCCCTGCCAGGAGAGGGGCCTCAAGTCGCCAGCCAGCGTGGTGCTATCCTCTAACCCTCAGCCACCACTGGAGGGTCAGTCCCCGCAGTGATGGGCTCGAGGGTGTCACTGAGCGGGGGAGGAAAGATAAGCATTGTGCCATGAGGCTGGGGTCTGGTAACTGGGGAATTGTTCTCAGGGGGCCTTAGAAAGCAAAGCCTGTGACTGGCCGTCGTTGATGTCAGACTCAGCCCATGCAGAAGGCCGGAAGTGTCTTTGGACTTGGAACATGAGTGGGGACCACCTGTGACCTGTGCCCCACCAAGACTGCTCTGTCATGTTGGGAGAGAAGGGAAAAGCCACGCTGCTGGGCAGGTCGGGGATCCCGGAGCCATTTCACCGGCCCTCCCCCAGCATTTCGTGGAGATGTGAAGCTGAATCCTTACGGCTGCGAGGCCCTCTGCAAGAAGCTCAAGGAAGCTCAGGGAAGATGGACACATTCAGAGAGTGTCAGCCATTAACGGCTTTTTCCTATCCATCTAGTCCCTTTCCTGGGGACCCGGCAGAAAAGCAGAACCTCCGCGGACTATGATTCTGAGGCAGCCGAGATGACATGTTCACCTGAAAACAAGCTGCTCTGTACAATGCGCACCTTGGGAAATCAGAATTACTGTAGTGAGAAGACGTGTGACTCAGGGTTAGCACTGTCTTTCCTCCTCAGAAGAGGGGCCTGAACTGAGGTGTGTGTGAGAACGTGTATATAGATGCTAGGCCCTTATGTTATGTGTGAGGGTTTTTTTAAATTATACTGAAATGCTGCTGTAAATAGGAAAACTGAATAATAATAAACCTATTTTCTGGTTGTTGGGACAATGTCTATAACACACCCCTTATATGAATTCAACCAGCTGCCTATTTAAGGGGAGCTGTCCAGTAATTCACTTTATTTATTTTGTTACAAACATCAAGGTTATTTAAATGAAGATATTTTTTCTACTCTGGGGAAAATGCTGCAGTATCTTCTTGAGGCACCATTGTTGCTCTGGGTCAGGTTAGAGAACCCGAGAAGTGCCTGAGCACAGTGAGGGAGTCGGCCTCTTTGACCCACTTTGCAGGCCTCCCCAAGAAAGAAGGAATGGCATCAAGGGTAAATTAAAGTCTCATTAAAGGGTAAATTAATGAATTTGTCCTTAGGAAACTCTGTATGGTCATAAATAACTATCTGTGTTCTGTAGATACCTGTGCATATCCTACCTCCTTGGAGAGAAAATAGAGATGGAGTGGAGACGAGATTGGGAGCGGTCACAGGGAAAGCTGTGGCCTTCCATGTGCCTTTATTTGCTGTGTTAATGCAATGTCCTGGGAGGCTGGGCAGTGACCTGGCGTCCCGGGGCTCCCCAGCATTGGCACAGCAAAACCCAGTAGCCATGAGTCTGAGGAAATGTCTTTGTGTCGTTGGCCTGCAGTTTCTCTCTGTGCGTCGTGTTGCTGTCATGCTTGCTCTAGGGGAGCTCTAAAAGGGGAAATGCAATTTCCTAGGAAGAAAGGCTGTTATTCTTTCAGTCCAGACTTAGGACCTGAAACTATCTGTGATACGTAACTCGACATCACCTGTACTCACGTTAGCAGTTTTTCCAGTTGGAGCTCTCAAAATTGTTTGCCCGGACACAGATGGTTTTTTTCCAGAGGTGTCGAATAAACTTCAGTGTTTTTCCTCTGCATCTCTAAAAGTTGACCCCTTCATATTTTGTGTCTGTCAAGATTTTCATTCTTAATGTGAAAGACATAGAATTATTTATACTTACGATAGAACATATTTGAAATTTGCACATTTAGTTGTCTCTAATAGAAAATGCTGTACTCTTTGGTGGACTTCTTCAAGTTTTCCTAAATACATGTAACTTTTCACAAGAGTCAAAATTTAAGAAATAAATTATTTAAGAACAAATTTTGGTGTTTTCTATTGATGAATGCTGAAAAAGATAGGCTCAAATGGTAAGACTGTGCTTCCCAAGCAACGTTATTTTTTGACACACACCCAGGCGGTATGTCTGTCATCCGTGGTAGCTTTTTAAAAAATAACTGCATGAGGGCGGGGGTGTATACGCAAGCGCAGGCCTCTGGTTCAACAATGGGAACACTGAGGCCTAGGTGGGAGTAGAAAAGAGATGCTAGGACCCTGTGCTCCTCCAAAGGTTCCTCCCCTAAGCATTTAATGAAGAAAGAGAAAACAAGAAGAAGAAGAACTAGGTGGGGAGGAAGGAAGATTGTTGTTAAGATGTCTCAGGTCAGACATCAAAGAAGTGGCTTGGCTCTGAAATTATAACTCCTCCCACCTGCAAGCCTTTGTCCCCAGAGAGGGTTAATTCAGGAGAACTGTGTAGCTCCCAGCATCTAGCTTTTTAAGCTCCCCAGGTGATTCTCATGCTCAGCCAGCTTTTAGAATGACACTTTATTTATAATCTTTTTAACTTATAGAAAACTTTCGTATACAAAAAAGTAGGATATAGTATGACACCCCCCATCCACCATCCACCTTCCAGTTTCAACTATTATCAACATATTGCCAAATGTTTCATCCATTACTCCCCTTTTTTTGGTTTCATCTCTTACCAGTCCCCCCCCCCCTTTCCGCTGGACTATTTGAAAGCAAATCCCAGATACTGTGTATTGTGTCTTTACAGCCACAAATAACTCCAGCATCTCTAATTCATCAGAAGGTGTGCTTTTTACAGAACCACCCTTATTACACCCAACTCAATTATTTTATTCTTTAATATCATCCAAATCCCAAGCATGGATCTCTTAGATTGTCTCCTACACTGGACAAAGCCCTATTGCTTTTAAACGTTAAGGCTCTTTTATTCTGCAATACTCTCTTTTAATTTTTCATGCTGGTACTTTGTTAGAGCAGTTGGGTCATTTGTTCCATAGACTCTCCCACATTCTGGATTTGGCTAATCTCTGTCCTGTGAGGTTCTTTAACTTATTCTTCTACACGTGCTGTTAGGTTCCATGAGCAAAAGTCATCTGCAGACAGCACTGTGTATCCTATTGCATCCTGTCCTGGACAAGTCCTGTGACTGCTGGCCTGGAAGAATCACAGAGTTTCAAAGTGGATCTCCTTTTTTTGTTTTCCATTTTCTCTCTCATCCTTCACCCAGCATTAAGAAATTACAATTTTTCAATCTGCATGATGAACATAAGCATTTGACCATAAGTCATGAGGATTCCTAAAATAGGAAGTGACTTATAATTAGCAAATTATCTCTGACTCAGAAGACTGGCCCATACACAGGGAAAGAGAGTGGGTTTAGAGGACATGGAGGGAGCCAGTTAGAGCTAGGCTCCCATCTGGGGGAGGGGAGGTCCCGTCAAGCACACACACAAGTTTGTGTTGCAGTGGGCATGTTCATTTTTTTTTCTGAACTGGAACCCATGGCTTTCCTCGGAGTCTAAAAGGAATTGACAACTTTCCAAAAAAGGCAAAGAGTCTAGGAATTAGAGGGCTGGAAAATAAAGCTTGCAAGGAACTGGCTTTGCTTCAGCTTGCCCAGATAGTCACTGCCAAAGCTGTAGAATGCTGCCCTTGTACCACCCAGAGGGGAAGTTCATACCACCCAAACTTGAACTCACTGGATTTCATGCCCACCTCTTCTTTCCATGCTGTCATCTTCCTAGCCATGTCTGGACTTTTCCCCCTACCTCCCACATTTAAACTCATAAATGCGTGTCCAAAATGTGTCTCAAATCTGCCTGCCCGCCCCCACTGTCCTCCCGCTGCCGCAGCCTGGGCCCAGCCTCCCTCCCTCCTTTGCGCCCAGATGCTCCTTTCCAGCCCACTCTCTTGCTCTGCCTTCACTGGTTATCTGTGCACATAGACCCGGGCATGCTCTCCTATAATGAAGACTCCCTGCTGGCTTTCCAGTGCTCCCAAATTCCAAAGCAGGGTGCATGTGACCCGGCAAGGGAAAAAGAAAATAGAACTCTGATTTATATTTTAATCTAAAATCTATGATAGAAATCGCATTTTGGTAATATTTGATATATAAATTTATGCGAGGGCTCTCCGACTTTGTCAGCATCAGTGGGTCCCTGTCCCTCCGTGCACCATCAGCTGGGGGACGAGGGAGGGCGAGGAGGGGGTGCCAGAGGTGCTTTGGCTCCTCCATTCATCCAGAGGCAGCGCAGATGTGCCGTCTATGTACTCTCTTATCTGCACGCACAAACTTAGAAACCGAATTTTCTAGTCTCTAAAAAATTACCCAAATGAAGGGTTTCAAAGGGTTTTCAATGTATTCATTGGAAATATTAGTTTATCTGTACACCTTCCCAGCTAACTGACATCCAAGAAGACAGGAGTTTACTAGCTGAGTTTCAACAAAAACTTTTGCACACTCGATAACTGGGAATTAAATGCAATTAATCATAAATTAGGAGGCACCCCCAGTGAATTTTTTTCTATCTTCTTGAGGCATCTTTTTCGGCTCTGTCATTAACATGAAGGATTATAATAAAGTGAACTTAGATTTTGGAATGGCTTTAAGTGTTAGACAATTTTTAAACAAAAAGCACCCTTGTTAACGTTATTATTTTTTTCTTGCTGAGGTCAAAAGGTGTTTTCACCATTAATAAAACATGGATTTTGAAGTATTGCTTACTTTATTTCTATCTCATTGTTTTAAGATTCTCATTTGGTGTAATTTTTAATGCTCACGGTCATAGTGCATTAGAACTCATCTAAAATAATACATAAATTGTGAATGCATGTTCCCAAAAAATTTTAAATGATATCTGAGGAGAAGAATTTGGAGTCCAATTTCCAACATGTTAAGCAACGCTCTTTATAATTTGAACCAACTTAAGTATTCATTCTTGTCTCCTGCCACTACGCACATACATATGTGTGTACATACACACACACATATACACCCCCATACTATGGCTTCCTAGTCTCTAGGAAAGGACATCTTTCTGGTCTCAGGACTTTCAAAAATTATTCAGGACCCCCAAGAAATTTTGCTTATGTGTATTACATCTGTTTACATTAATCATTATAGAAATTAAAACTGGGAAAATGTCAAAGCACAGAATACACAAGCAAAGACTCCACCAGGACAATGACATCATTTCATGTCACAGATAGGGTGACCAGACGTCTCGCTTTTGGCGGGACAGTCCTGCTTTTTAATAATCTGTCCCGCATCTCATAGTGTTTTTAAAAAGTCCTGATTTTTGGAAAGAATGCATGAACGGGTGGGAGAACAGGAAGGGAATATATGGTTTTTGGCTGCCATGTGGCTATTTAGCCAGGATATGAGTTTTATATTATTTTTGTGAATTTTATAATGTTAAACTGTAATAATAACAAATAATTGTTGAGAAGTGATTATCGAGAATGGCTTATCAAAGTTTGCATTGTTGTCAGGCCCTGCCCTGCCCGTCCCCTGCCCCGTCCGGCATCCCGCCCCCTGGCCATGTTGTCCCGCTTTACATATGTTAAAATCTGGTCACCCTAGTCACAGAGCGTCTGGGAAACTCCAGTGCACGTACCCTCTGGACACCCTTTCTGCCATCCCCTTTGCCCTCTTTCCTCTCCCTTTACCAGAATCCAGTAGAGTTCCTGCTTTCTGTACTGCACTATTCCAGATATCCTAGAAAGAACGTGATATTTTGTAAAAGAAATATTTAAGTTTAAATCCCAGCCCCGTTACCTATTAATTATTCAACCTCGAGCAAGTTGCTGCAAATCTCTGAGTCTCAAGTTCATCATCTGTAAAATGCTCATTAATTAAGTTACCTTAGGGAACTTTTCCACTTCACCCTCCCAGAAAATGCTCTTTTTATCACTAGCCCAGCTAAAGTTCTCAACCTGGGACATATTTTATAGAATCACCCAGAGGGATTTTAAGTGGTGCCAGTGCACAGAGATTTCATCTGTAGGTGGTCCGGGATGACTCTCTCAGATATTAAATTATTTTTTAAGTTTATATCTTTAAATGAATCTCATATGTAGACAAGTCTGGAGTCACAAGTATTCCAAAGGGTACATTTTCACAGAGGCAATTGGGGGGAAGGGAACACAATTACAGCACACACCTGGGTCATCAGAAAGGGGAGGTGGCTTCTTCTGCACCAACTCTTCATCTGCACCTGCACTGGTAACATTTATTACCATTGTGAATCTACTCTGGCATCAAAGTGGCACAAAGTGCCCCTGTCCCAAAGGCCATATCAGACTATCCAACATCAGAGATATGTTCCTGCATTGACAATTTACAAAAGACCCACTAATTACCAAAGAGGGGCAAACACCTGCTCTCTCTGGTTAGTGTCTCTCCTTCTAAGAGACACTCTTTGCGGGAATGTTTATTACCCAGATGCCTGATGAGCCTGGAATCAGATTTAGGGACCTAGCATGGGGAGCTTTGTCTGTCTCCAGTCTCAGTAGGTCTTATTCAGCAAGAGCCCTTCATGGTACTATCTCCGCATATAATGCCTGCAATGGGCCCTGCCAATGTCTGCCTTTGAGACCCACCCTGTTCTTCGTGTAACCACGACCATCTTCTGACTGGCCCACTTTCCTCTAATCCTTGTCAACACCTTCTGGTCACTCACAGACTGTCTTTTCCGGTGACTTTGTTACTGAGCTGATTTATTATTTAATCCCCTCAGAGGAAAATTGTTTCCATGTTACTACCTCCCCTAGAAGTCAGTAATTCTGGAAATCTTTAGTTTGTTAGAATGAAATTTGACATGCATGGTTTTAAATATTGTTGGAATGCTTTATTACAGTAAGAAGGACATTCAGCTACTGTCGGACTACGCGGGAATCAGAAGAGGAGGCATAATTTAAGTCTGAAGAAGCACCACAAACCCAAGCATGAGTTTCCCAGTATTAAGAAACTCGGA